TGCTCCTAATTTGCACTTACTTCGGCGTGGAAAAGAACTTTCTGAGAAGTAAATGATTGTGTGATTCGCCTCTCTTTGTTTTTCATTATAATACCTATCGCTGTTTTTAAAAATACACTTGTCATCAAGGATGACGTGATGCTCACCGCTCCGCTGCTGTTGTTTAATTAAAACCAGCATGGTTTAAAGCCACGCGCAGGCTTATTTGATAATTCAGTGCTTTAAGTTCTGTACACACAGATGTAGAGCTCGCCTAACTCTGCAAAGTTGTGTGACAATTTTATTGCTGGGCTACCTTGTTTAGAGGCCGGTTTGAAGACTGTAGTTTGAAGACACTGTGTCAGTATGGTGACATGGGCTAGTCGTCTTAAAATTAAACCTTAATTATTTAGTGGTATGAAACATACTAAGTAAAAGTTTGGCTACGTTCTGCATTTTAATACACTAATTAACTTGAGATACCGTTCTCGTCCATCGCTGTTAACTTGCATTTATAGACCTAACCGATTGCATTGACGTTTCTCCAGTCTTACAATATAAACGGTATATTTGCATATCTGAGCTTCATAAAGTTAAGATGTACTTGAAAGAGTGAGAGTTATTTACAACAGATTTGTTTTCAGGATGAAATAATGAAGACATTAGGGATATACAAGCGCAAGTTAACTGTTAACTGCTAAGCGAGAACAGTCTCAACATATGCAAAGACCATATCTAAAATAGATGCAAATGAATGTAACAAAACATGAAAGTTACTAATATATAGCATTTCCCCCAGCATTTAAATCCAGAGATTCTCTCTTCCAGTAGATTTACTTGCATGATATAGAATGCAAATCTTTGCCTCTATATTTGCAGAAAGACTATTTTTCCTGCTGTAAATATTTACGTTTTCATTATATGTTTTGAATATCTTTTTGGTTCTTGCTAGTAAAAGTTTCACTCATTTTCAGTTTGCTCTTTATCTACTGTTCTTTAGGGGCCGATAACTGGTGTAGAGCATCCAAGATATATTTGTTTCGCAAAGCTGGTGCAATTCTGAAACAAACAGGAGGGGGGGGGAAATTGAGAATTTTATTCCTGATTTTAAGATAATCA